ACTGGCTCCTAACTGCTCACCTGCCTGCCTGCATGATCACCCCTAACTGCCCACCCAATGGCCTGGTCACCCCAACTATCCCACCTGCTGGTCTGGTCTCCCCTAACTGTCCCCCCCCCCCGCAGCCTGGTCACCCCACGCAGCTTGTTCATTCATCCATTCAGTTGTTTCAGTTGTGACGGTCGCATATATATATATATATATATTTGTGTATCTTTACATCAATAGCCATATTGTCCTGATTAGCGTATATTGAGCTTTGAAATCAGATTGAGTCTCTCATTTTCAAGAATAACCATGTAAATTTCTACAGATTTGACAAAAAAGGCAGACCATCTTCAGCAGTTAACTTTTCTCCTTGAGAGAATCAAGCGTCTGGCTTATCCCTGGGCTCTGATCGAGACTAGATGCCTCATAATGAGACATCAGGTGGCCATAAAGATCTGCACTGGCTCATAACAACAACTGTTAGACTGGCCAACTGGTCAGAACCTTGAAATAGATGAAGTAGGAAGATTAATGACAGGCAGCCTAGTAAAGTTTTTATGTGAATGTACCACTCACAATGAGCACAACGTATAGAAATATTCATAAATTCTTTGCATAGTTATTTAAGGTTGCCTATTGCAAAGAAAGCCTTCAGTAATCAAGTGGACGAGGGCCCCATTCTGTGGCTGTAAATCAACTTTTTCTTGTGAGCAACCCCAGTGTTTGTTTAATGGGATTATATTCAAAGCAGCCGTGGTTGTGTGATGAGGTCTATGCATGAGCTCAACAAGATGGGTTTTCCCTCCCCACAGTTTCTGCCTACTGACATCACTGGTTGCCCAATTGCCAATGGCAGGGGTTACACATTAAGCCCCATGTTTTCAAGTATTCCTCTGGATGAGAAACCATTCTCCGCTAATTGATTATATTGGACCTCTGCCACCATAGTGAAAAGGACAATTTGTCCTTACTGGATTGGATAATTATCCCGTATATGCATTTGCCTTCCTTGGCTGCAGTGCTTCTGCCAGATTCACTAAGAACAAATTTATGACAATGCTTTATTGTTGTCATGGTGTTCCACACAAAATGGTTTCTGGTTCAGGAACTAATTTTACCATAAAAATTACAGTAATGCCCTAACTGGTTTGGCTCAGTGGATAGAGCTTCGGCCTACGGACTCAAGGGTACCAGGTTCGATTCCGGTCAAGGGCATGTACCTTGGTTGCAGGCATATCCCCAGTGGGGAGTGTGCAGGAGGAAGCTGATTGATGCTTCTCTCTCATTGATGTTTCTGACTCTCTATCCCTCTCCCTTCCTCTTTTTAAAAGATCAA